GTTTCCTGCGAGACTGAGCGGCGGGGAGTGGTTCGCGGCCTCCGGCCCCAGCTGCGAGGAAGATGGCGGACCCGGCCGAGTGCAACATCAAAGTGATGTGTCGCTTCAGACCGCTCAACGAGTCTGAGGTGAACCGCGGCGACAAGTACATCGCCAAGTTTCAGGGAGAAGACACGGTCATGATCGCGGTGAGTGTCCCCCGTCCCCACCCTGCGTCCTGCTCCTTCCCGGGACTTCGGGAAAGTCGGGGTGCAGAATGGAGACGGAGCAGTGGTTCCCCAACCTCCCCGCCTCCTCCCGGGTCTGCAGGTTCCGAGGACCCGGGGGAGGGAGACTGCACAACTCCCCCGGCGTTCCCGGGTCGACCGGATCCTGGTCCTCGGTGCCGGGCGACGGGAGGCGCCGGCTCTCAGCCTGGGACACTCCCCCACCTGGGGCGCTGGAGGAGCCGTCCGCGGAGCAAGTTAGTGCCCATCTGCCTCCTTGTGCGCGCTCGGTCCTCCCGTGCTGCTGCTGTGGGTGTTTTTGGACTGTACCCAACCCACTTACAAGTAAGATGAAGTGTGAAGTTCAGCTAGAAGCGTTGACCTGTGAGACCAGCCCTACCGTCCTTTGAATAGTAAAGATACTTCGTTTTACAGAAACACTTAACAGAGTACTAAACCGTATTGTTTTCCTTGGGGAGGGGAAAAACTACCGAACAACAACAAATAGACCTGAACCTCAGATGCGCTCTCACCCGCCTTTAAGAGTGATAAATTACTTTTCTTGTTAACAATTGCAAATGACAAGTTGCAAGCTGGAAAAAAGTCATTTTCTTTTGAAATCAGATTGATCAGTTTTGTTTGATCTTCTTGCAAATCTGTCCAATGCATATTGGGTTGGATAAACGCTCAGGATCAGATTCAACATCTTATAAATCATATTGAGGTTTATGGAGTAACAGTCACAAAAAGTTAACTGTATATGTATGTATCAAGTATGATAAAATTTAGCAAGCTTATAAAAAATGAAAATTAACCAGTATTAGATCCGTGTTTTCACATTTTGGTTATCCCCAAAATAATGAGATAGTGTGCCTTTGTGGTGTAAAGACTAGAGTTGGCTGGTCATTGTCCAGGAACTAAGAAAATGAACATTCTTTGGAGGTCTGCTCTCCGGTAGTGAAACATTTCTGAAAATATATTTCTGAAAATAGCGTTTCTGGTTCAAGGAGATTACAAATGGATAGTAAAATACTGCATACAGAACAATGAACTGTGACTAAAAATTAAATTCACTTTTGTTGGTAATACCATGTGGTAGAACTTTTTTCTTACATTGTTAGGATTTAATTTTAATATGTTAATTTTCCCTCTAATAGCATTTTATATTTAGCTTATTGTTTGGGATGTTTAATTTGAAATAGGGCAGAAAGGTCACAGGCTATAGAACTTTTGATTACTGAAAGATTGACATGTAAGACAGAACTAAAATTCATTAGGGTTTTAATGTGAGTTTCCAAAGTTCAGCTCTCGAAAATGAATGCTTTAGCTCTTGATAGACTTTTGACAAACAAGTCATTAGATTACTAACTGCCAGCTACTATTGTTTGAAGACTGTTAGGCTAGTTCTTTGTTAACAAGTCTGCAAGAAAAACTCTTGTTACAAATGACATCACAGCAAGGCAGGGAAGTTAAGCACAGTAATGTTTTTTTTTTGGCGAGGTTTCTGCTATAGGGTGCGTGCACTCTCCAGACAGAAACAGACAGAAGGTGAGAAATCACCCCCCAGGGGGGATGGCCACACTGCAATCCTTTCCCCTCCATTCTCCTCTAGGGATCTTGGGCACACACGCACATGCGCCCGGCGTGAGTTTTAAGCCACCAGATCCGGAACTCCAACCGCAGTGGACTACATGGGAGTCCATCGACACAGCCATTACGCCAACTGCTGGTCCCAGTAATTCTTTTTATTTAGGATGGTACATTTTACATGGAATCAGGATGTTTGCAAGACTTGACTAGTTATTAAACTTAAGGCTACTAGTTCCTGAATTTTTTTGTATGATTATTCAGCTTTAGCAGTGGTTGACATACCAATGCTATTTTTCCTTTTAGACCTATATGAATAAGAATGTCTTATCTCTCCAGATTTTATATAGATCTATAAGTACCAGTAAGATTCTTTTTTGTCAGAATGCTAAAATTTAGAATTCACAAAGTGTATTAAGATTAGGTTTAGAAGACATCCTTTAGGTGGGGCCCAACTAGCATATAATATGAAGAAAGAGTTAAAAGAAAATAAGTAAACATGGGAAACATTTATTCTACAATGTGTCCTTTGCCAAAAGAGTTATTTTTAAATTCTTTCAAAATTTATTTAGTAATATAAATACATTTGAATGACAATATTAGAATTAAAGGGTATGTGATTTGTTTATGAAACATTAATGGTTAAGTACTAAGCTAGTACTTAGTTGAAGTTTCAAAAAAAACCTTTTTTTTTTGTTAAAGTGTAAGTGAAAGTCCTTACTAACTGAGTGACAGTTCTCATTATTTTCAGGAACTAATTTCTTTAATGTGGTAACTACATTAATTATGCTGAGGTTTCATATTTTTGTCTAACATTTTATATTTAAGAATTTTGGTTTTTTAAAGAGTAATTGGAAATTTATAAAAGCAGTTGGGAGGAGCAGAATTAGAAAATCTTCAGGTAAAATGATCTCATGGTTTGTTTTGTTCACTTTGATTCACAGTACTTTAGGAGAGAATTGCTGCACAGCAGCATTGAAAATTAAATAATTTTAAACTTGATTTAAGAACACTTTATACACCACTATCTTCTAGTTAAATCAAAATTTAAAGAATAAGTATAATGGTGTAATTGAATTACAAGCATCATCTGCTCATGGAGAAAAATAAAATGAAGGATTCTGATAAGTTTAACTTTTAATGCTTTACCCCAACTTTTTTCCTGTTACTCCTGTAATGGTTGATTTAGATAATATGACCCAATAACAGGCAAGTCTTTTTATTTTCTAGTGTTTCTCTGTGCGGTGTACAGCCTTTAATAAAGATTTATTTGTAACTAAGTACTTGATGAAATGCTATAACTATCACATTGAATGAAATAAGTGAATTATTCTATGAAAATCTTTACACGATACAAGTATAAGCTGTTTGCTTTAGAGGACTTGTTATCTGCAAAGCTAGGAGGACAAGGAAAACTATTTCAATGTGCTTGTTGAAAACTGAGAGGAAGAAATCAATGGAAGGAATTACTTTGTATCATGAAAGTAGAACATGCTCATTTGCATTATTAAGTATTTTTGCTAATCATCATTTCTTATACTGTAGAGGCTGCCAGAACCCAAAACTGGCTGTTGTTCATTGAAATTAGAAGAGAGTAAGACTAATTAGATCCTCTTGCTCAGTTCCTTGCCTAAAGCAAAAACACAATTCCCCTTTTCAAGTGAAAGATGTTTTGGTGTTTGAACCTTCTTGATTACTAAAAAGTGAAAATTTAAAGAGAAGTGAGAGCCCGTATTGCTTGAGGGGGCTTCAGAAAGTTCACAGAAAAAAGAATTAAAGTGTGAGTTTGTTTTGGTGCACATATTTTTTTTGAAATCCATGAATGTTTTTTCATAATAGGCATTTTCTGTGAACTTTTGAAGAACTCTCATGTAACTTTCCTCTCAGGGCTGTTAGTCAACATCAGTTTCTAACTTGGGAGTATCTAATATAATACAGTCCTGTGTGATCTGAAAAGATAACTATACAGAATTCTGGAGAAAGGCATATCCCTGCCAGATGAGTGTCCTTCATAACCAAATTTGGTGTTCAGCTTGGTTTGTACAGATTCAAACAGGAATTGCTTCACTTAAGAAATGTAAGGTGTGGTTGCAGTTCAGATAAACTTATTCCCATTTGGTTTGTCCCCTTGAAGCCTAAGTGAGAAAGGAATGCATCTAATGACTAGGAGTTTAAAAATTGAAATCTGAGACTTTGATTATCTTTGACTATACATAGGATTAAAGAGTACATAATGTTCATTTTAAGGCTCAGAATCAGGTGTTTAAAATAGATGCCAAGATGCCAAGTTTTTCTTTATTTGAAAGATAGGATGTGTCGTCATCTTTTTTTTTCTAATTATTTTAATAATTATTGAATCATTATTATTTTTTTTAACTTGACCAGAGTGAAACAGAGAGATGGGGGAAGTGAGACAGCAAGCCACCAGGTCCGAGACTCGAATTGTGGTCAGCCATATGGGAGCCCAGAGCCTCTAACCACCAAACCACCTGCTGGTCCAATTTTTTCTTTTTAAGAGAGATTTTTGCTATAGGGGGCATGTACTCCCTGGGGGGGTGGGGGTGGGGATGGCCATGCTGCAATTCCTTCTCCATTCTCCTCTCTAAATTTTGGGCACACATGCACATGTGGCCAGCGTGAGTTTTAAGCCGCCAGGTACGGGACTGGAACTGTGGGCGACTACGTGGGAGTTCAGCAATGTAACCACTACACACCATCTGCCTGTCCCTGAGATATATCTTCATTATAGAACATCAAAAGTAATTTTTATGTTTCATAAAGCCTTGCTTTTTTATCTCAGGAAGCCAGCCAGGGTCAGTTAGTAACTTTATGGCTAGATAGTCAAAACATTTGCCTTACTGAATAAAATACAGTTTAGTTTTAGGATCAAAATAAATCTATTTTGTCAACTTAATGCTAAGCATTTACATTAATTTTTTTTATAATAGTGATATAACTTCTAAAAAATCTTATTTTGTCTTTGAATGTTGCCCATTAATCTTTGCCATTCATAATATTTTAGTTAAATTGTCTTCGTTTGCATATTTGCTGTGAGATGATTCTAGAGTAAAGGGCTGCATAAAGTACTTTAAAGGCAGGCTTTACTATCACCCATTATTTTTATCCTATCTCTATGTATATAGTTTAGGTCATTATTTTTTATTGATGTAAAAATTGAGATATGACTTAAAGCTTAGTATTATTTGTACTTTACTTTTTAGAGAGATTTTTGCTATAGAGTGCTTGCACTTGCCAGAGAGAAGAAGAGAGACAGAAAGCAAGAAATCACCCCCTGAGGGGGATAGCACACTGCAGTCCTTTCTCTAGTCTCCACTCAGGATCTTGGGCATGCACACACATGTACCAGCGTGATTTTTAAGCCACCAGATCCGGGACCCAAACCGCAGTCGAGTAGGTGGGAGTCCAGCAACATAACCATTGTGCCATCTACTGGTCCCTATTTGCACTTTATATAAATATTTATTTTAATATTTGATTTACTTTAGATACATTCATCTTCATACTTTTATCTATTTCGTACTGATTAACTTGTTTTCAAGCAAAATTAAAATTACTATTGATTTTTTCCCCTTATTTTTATATCTCTGTTATTAAGTATATATTTAGACTGGTCACAATCTCCTCTTTACCAGATGAAGAATTCCTTAAGGCCAGATTCTGTCTTCTATTTCAATTTAATTAACATTTCTCGATTGCCTATGTTGGCTGCTAGTATTCAGGCTCATACCTTAGCTCCACCCTGCCTTATCCTATATTTTTCCTCAAACCCTATAGTCTGTACTAATCATCATTTCTAAAATTGTGTTGTGCGATGCGACCGTATCCGATACCTTGGTTGCTAAGTAGATGTTCACTGGACAAATGAAGAGGGAACATTACTTTCTTTTTGCATCCAAAAATTTGTATTAGCATGGCATATCTGTGGGTAGTAATTTTGATTATATTTGTTTTGGGAATTGTTCCCTTTGACTATATCTTGTGTAATCAGTAAAGTAGCAGATTGCCCTTTATTAGCCAGACCTGTAGAATTCAATGTTAACATCTCAGTAGCAAAAGGGCACTTTCATGTATGTCATAGCTAAAGAATAATCAGACATTGATGCTCATTTAAATTGACACCAAAATGAGGTCATTTTAGGAATAGTTTGAACCGCAGAGTTTAGAAAACAGCTTAAGTGAATAAGAAGCTATTGTACTCAACAATAAAAAGTCTGGACATAGTGCTTTACTACTACTACCTAAGGATCCTGGTTCTGTTAGCTCTGTCATCATTAGCTGCTAACTTTTCATCATCATCAGTTGTCATGTTTACAAGATGGCTGTTACAACTCCAGACATTCATTCTAGGAAGGAGAAAGGACAGTTTGCTGAAATGGTCCCTTTGTTACGGAAGCAGCACTGATTCTCAGAGACCGCCCAGCAGACTACCTCTTCATACTATCCAGAACTGGTCATTTGACCACGAGTTGCAAGGAGACTAGGCTAGCAACCATTTGTCTATCCAGCCTCTCATATGGGGGGTAGCAAGAGAAGGGAATCAGGACTGGCTTTGGATAGTTCTTTTGGAATATTCATTCTTACTGGTACTCCAAGATTTGGAGAAGGGAATTGTGGAGTATAGTTTCTAACAAGTGCATCTTTTTCTGCTAAGACCTAGGAAATGTTCTATAACATTAAGAGGTTCCCCCCTCCCCCATTATTGTTTTGTATTTTAGGACCTTGATTCTTTCCTTTCCTTTAGAAGAAACTAGAGGACAAAATACTTGGCAATACCCAGAACCTTCTTACCACTCTCTCATCTTTAGATTTCACTGTCCTAGATTATTACATTGTTCCTGACAGCATTTAAATTTGCTTAGATCTTGCCCCTTGGCTTATTGTCAAAGGGCATGGATACATAGAGGAGAGAGAAGGAGAAAGCACCCCATTCCCTCAGTGGGGAGTAGTCACCCTGTAATCCTTCTCCATTTTCTCATCTCATCAGGATTTAGGGCATGCACACTCATGCACCATCTGTGTATTTTAAACTGCCAGGACTGGGATTTGAACCACAGTTAGCCATGTGGTATGTGGCTTCCTTAACCACCATACTATGTGGCTCGCCTAGGTCTTGCCCATCTTTAAAAGGAAAAAAAAAATTCTTCCTTAGCCAAATTTTGTGCTTTGTTTGATTAGCTCCCATTCTTTTTTCAACCCATTGTGGTCTGACCTATGCCACTGGATACTTTTGTTTTGTCTTGACATAACAGCTATATTTGGCATAATTGTGTGTTTTTTAAAAATTCTTTCCTTAACTTGCACTTAACTGTGTTCTGATTCTTTTTTTTTTACTTTTTTTTTTTTTGAGAGTTTTTTTGCGATAGGGCACTTGCGCTTGCCAGACAGAGACAGAGAGATAGAAAGCGAGAAATCACCCCCCAGGGGGGATGGCCACGCTGCAGTCCCTTCTCCATTCTCCTCTCGGGATCTTGGGCACGCACGCACACGCGCCCGGTGTGAGTTTAAGACACCAGGTCCAGGACTCAAACTGCAGTCTGCTATGTGGGAGTCCAGCGACATAGCCATTATGCTAACTGCTGGTCCCTGTGTTCTGATTCTTTTCATTCTTTGTTCTGGCTCCTTAGACAGTATCACCAGTTCTCTAGAGTGATCCATGATGGCTCTAAGATCCTATGTCAACATTTGCATTTGATTTTGCTCCTTGTTCTTCAAACTTCACAAGTTCTTGGGTATCTTGAATACTGTGAACTTCTTTCTGCCTTAGGATCTTTAAGCCTTCTATTCCAAATGTCTACACTGGTTTGTCACACTAAACTCTTCTCCCCCTCGTGACTGATATTGAAGAGAGTGACAGTGAGTTAGTCACTACTTATTTTTCATAGTTTCTTTAGTACCTTCTCCAAGAGTGTGTTCCTGACATTCTTCTGTTCTCTCCTAAACTCAGGTTCTCTGCTTGTGTGCTCTTGTAGCATCTCATAACACTCAATTATGGCAGTCAGAATTGTAGTCACCTAGTTACTTGTTTAATGTCCCCTGCACTATTGCTGAAGCTCCACTAAAGCAGAGAGTAAATGTCTTGGATATAATTCTAACGTGGCATCTTGGATTTTGTAAATATGACTTAAATTAGAGAATAATTGGAAAAATTATTACAGTGAACTGAAAGGCTGAGGTGACCCTGTAGCCTAGTGACTGACCCTAGTCGAATCCTGGCCCTGGTGGCTTGAAAACAAGCACACTGGGCACTGGATGTGCCCTCAAAATCCCAGCAGAATGGAGAAATGGAGAACGGGTTGCGGTGTGACTATACCCCATTGGACAGTGCCAAACCTTTTCTGTATTTTTCTGGTGAGTGCATATGCCCTATTGCAGTTGGGGGCGGGGAGTAAACTGAAAACTGAATAGAGTAGTGGAAAGAGGTCTAAATTGAAGTCACCTCCAATAGAGTCTTGGTACCACAGTCTACCCCTAGTCAACCCACCCACATCACACAGCACACTTTGCATACCTTGTGTACTTGTAAAACACATGTTTGAGAAACATGCTACGTGTATGTGCATGCATGCCCAAAATCACAAGAGGAGAATGGAAGAGAAGAGATTGTGACTTACCATACCTCCTAGGGGTTGCTTTCTCACTGTCTCTCCATTCCTCTCTCTCTAGTGAGCACACACACCATACAGCAAAATTAAAAGAAAAAGCATTTACTCAGCAATATTTGAGTGGTTACCATAGTTACGCTAATTATAATTACTCTGGTAAGTCCTGGGAATACAGCAAAGACTAAAACAGACATTCTTGTTTTCATGTAGTTTATAGTTTATTTATACATGCTGACCTTTGAGGTCCATTCCACACAAAAGATACAGTGACATAAAGTGGTGCATACTAGCTATAGTCTTTGGAAGGTTAAGTAAATAATGGTATCAGGACCAGCAGATGCTGTAATGCTTAGGTCAGTAGATTCACTTGTAGTCCACCGAGGTTTGAGTCTTGGGCCCAGCGACTTAAAATTCATGCCAGGCGCATGTACGTCTGTGCCCAAAATCCTGAGAGGAGAATGGAGGAGAAGGGATTGCAGCATCACCATCTCCCCAGAGGGTGATTTCTCCCTTTTTGTCTCTCTGGCATGTGCACATACCCTAAAGCAAAAACCTCTCTCTCTTTTTATTTTTTTTTAATAGACCACAAATTAGTTTATTTTTAACACCCATCATGCCATGAATTCATAGGGAATAGGTTCCAGTAGCTCGGGCTCTTTTCCATTGGTTCTCACAAAGTGTGCTTCACTGGGTGGAACAGGCTGGCACTTTAGTTGAACCCAGGTACCTTTCTCTTTGGCTTCTTTGTTTTTGTGGTTATTTTCCTTCACAAGTTTTAAGAAGCTATCTCTGCGCTTAGAATGCTTAATATGCTCAATATACATATTAATTCTCTAGGCAAGAATTTTGCCCTTGTTTGTTCACAACAATGCCAACAGCATTCTGGGTAACATTGCAGACTTCCAGTTTTGCCATGGTAACATTTGTGGAGCATTCCTTTTTGAACAGTACCCATTCCCTTAATGTTACAATATCACCTTTCTTATAGATTCCCATATATGTTGCTAAAGGAACAACTCCAACTCCATATTTTCTTTTTTTGGAGAAAGGTTTTTTCCTATAGGGCACATGCGCTCACCAGAAAGACAGAGAGACAGAAAGCGAGTAATCACCCCCGCCCCAGGGGGGATGGACGCACATGCACCCATCATGAGTTTAAGCCACCAGGTCCGGGACTTGAACTGCGGTCTACTACATGGGAGTCCAGCGACATAACCATTATGCTAACTGCTGGTCCCACAACTCCATGTTTTCTAAAAGGCCTAGAGAACACATATCAGGTGCCTCTTCTCTTTCCTTTTGTGTTCATCATTTTGGTTAATTACTGGGAGATGGCAGTTTCGGGCAAAAAGTGCAAAAGTCTCTCTTAAATAGAACGTGTGTGTATGTGTGTAAAGTATAAAAACTACACATGTATAAAATAGTATCTTTCAGAGAGTTTAGAAATGTGTAATTTGTATAGTTAAAACTCTTTTTTTTTTTTTTTTTTTTTTCAGTCCAAGCCACCTGCTTTTGATCGGGTGTTCCAGTCAAGCACATCTCAAGAACAAGTGTATAATGACTGTGCAAAGAAGATTGTTAAAGGTAAATATACTTATCCTTCTCAGCCAGCTCTGTGGCCTAATGGAACTAGATCCAATGTTGCTCACTGTGGTTTGAATTCTGGCCCTAGCCATTTGAAAAACATAGCAGGCATGTGTGCTCAAATCCGAATAGAGTAGAGAAATGGAGGAGAAGGAATTGTGACATGACCATGTCCCATTGGAATGCTTTTTCCCTTTCCTGTCTCTGTCCCTGTCTTTTCTCTCTCTTTCTTTCTTTCTTTCTTTCTTTTTTCCTTTTTTTAGAGAGGTTTTTGCCCTAGGGGACGTGTCCTCGCCAGAAAGACAGAGACAGACAGACAGAAAGAGAGAAATCACCCCCCCCCCCGGGGGGGGATGGCCATGCCGCAATCCCTTCTCCTCCATTCTTCTCTCGGGATCTCGGGCATGCACATCCACATGCCCGGCGTGAGTTTAAGCTGCTGGGTCTGGGACTCAAACTGTGGTCGACTACGTGGGAGTCCAGCGACATAGCCACTATGCTAACTGCTGCTCCCTGTCCCTGTCTCTTAATGAAATATCTATGTTTAATCCCTGTCTCTGGCATTGAAATATCTATGTTTAATCAGCTGAATTGTTCCAGCAATAAGTAAAATTTTGCATGTGGTGGTTCCCACTTACTCAATGTTCTTTTTCATTTTGATGCCACTTTCTGCTAAGTGAATTGCAAAATGAAATTGTTTAAATAATAAAAAGGTCAGATACAATTACTAAATACACTGTTGCTCAAATTCATGATCTAATTATATACAGTACTTAGTGATGGGTGTTACAAGAATTCTGCTACATACTTGTTGTTGAAAGAATCATTACAATTAGATAGTCCCAGAATAGTTTCCAAGGTAGGAACTCTAAGAATAGAACAATATCAAAATGAAAATGCAATGGCTAGACAAGTTTCTGAAAAGTTATGGAAAATAGCAGTCTGTGATTTTTCATTCCATTGTTATTCCTTCCCCAAAGACTGAGCTTATAAATCAGCAGACCTTGAAGAATTTAAAGAGAGTTGCCAAGAGTGAGAAAAGTATGTCATTCCAGACAGTACTGTGAATTTATACTAAGATAATTTTCAACTTTCTGTTTTATTTTCTATAATTATTTTATTTAACTTTATTTATTTTAATTTGCCCGAGAGGGACAGAAAGAGAGAGAAAGTGAGAAAGCAAGCCACCAGGTCTGGGACACAAACTGCAGTCAGCCATGTGGGAGTCCAGCACCCTCTTAACCACCACAACCACCTCCCGGCCCCATCAGCTTTCTGTTTTCTAAAATCATAGAACTCTATAGCTGAGAGGATGCTAAGTGATTATCTGGAGTAGAAATCCCTTTTATCAAAAGGATCTTACAGTTAAATGGTCATTAATTTATGATATCTCTTATTCCTTTTTTTGGCATTTAGTTGCTAAAACGTTCTTAGTTTGAGGCAAAATCTATCTTGTGGCGTTCATCAGATTAGAGTGGATGAGATTCAGTATAAAAGTGGATGGATGGGGGCCAACAGGTGATATGTGATTAAGGCACTGAACTCCCACATGACCATTTGTGGTTCATGTCCCGGACCTGGCAGCTCACTTTCTCTTTCCGTCTCTCTGGCCAATTAATTAATTAATTAATTAATAAAAATTGAATAGAGAATTCTTTTTTTTTTTTCCGAAGTAGATGGATGGGGCTAGCAGGAGTTATGGTGGCAAAGTCACTGTTCTCCAACATGATCAACCACAGTTTAAGTCCCAAACCTGTCAACTTGAAACTCATACCAGGCGTGTGTGTGTGTGCATGCCTAAAATCCCAGGAGGAGAAGGGACTGCAACATGGCCATCCCCTCCAGTGGGTGATTGCTCACTTCCCCTCTCACTTTCTCTGTCCCTCTCCAGCAAATGCATGTTCCCTATAGCAGAAATCTTAAAAAAAAGTTTTTTAGAAAGTGGGTGGATTAGGATTAAATAGGAGCACAGACCATTCATCCTAGTAATGGGAGAGAATAGTAATGGGAGAGAATGGAGTTTATAGATAGAAGCAGGTTTGTAGATGTGATGGAAGAAAATATATTCTCATATTAATTTCATGTCTGTGATACAGGGAATGAAGTAATCACAAATAGTGAGGAAGAGGAAGGTTTTAGGAAGAGGTTAAGAAATGGATAATTAGGGGAATGCAGCAGTATTGCTGGGCAGTAGTAAGGGCCTACTCAAGGTTATCTGCTCAGAGTTGGGTTTGCTCATTTGGGGGTTTGCCATGTGAGTACAAAATAGGGACATGGATGCTGAAATCTTCATATAGTGGGGGAGAATTTACTTTTGTTTCTGTAAGTGACTGCAACACAGAGGAGCAGGCAGTGTCATCTTATGTTGTAAGTAGTAGCATTCTAATGGATTTGTCCATCATAGTGTGCAGTAATACTACAGTCTTTGGTTATGATATACTTTAGTCATCACTACAGTTTAATAAGATCACATAAACTTTTTAAGTAGTAAAGGAACCCATGGGCAAATTAAATGTGTAGAGCTAAGAAAACAAATAGGGCCAGTCTCATGGCCAGTGGTTAAGAAACTTGAAACCCACATGACTGAAGGTGCAGTCTGAGTCCCAGCCCTGCTGGCATGTGTGTGTGTTTGTGTCCAGAATTCTTATGGGATGGAGAAATGGAGAAGGGACTGCAGCATGACTAGGCCCCACTGGGAGATGTTTTCTCTTTCTGGTGAGCACATGTACCCTCTGGCTTATAAACATACATGCATGTATGAATGAATAAACACAGCTCTTTTCCACATCTGCTCTGCAGCAGCATCACATCCATGCAGTCACCATGTGCCCATTGCACACTTGTATGTTGGAGTGAGGGCCTTTAAAGCACAGATTCCGGGCTAGCTCTGTTCCAAAAGGACTGTTCTACTCAAGCTGAATCCCACATCATCATAGTTAATAAATCTATTATGATGCAAAGACACTGATGTTTGAAAAATATTCTAACTCATTTTAAAGGATGTTAAGTGGGTTTTTGTCCATTGTCTTGGTTTATTCTTTCTTTATGTTTAACTTTATATTTATTATTATTTTAAATTTGCTATAGGGCATATGCGCTCATCAGAGAGATAGGGAAAGTGCAAAAGGAAGCCTCCGGGTTTGTGATTGGAACTGCCGTTAGCCACGTGGGAATCCAGTGCCCCAACCATCGCATGACCTGGTGGCCCCAGTTTAATCTCCCAAAAAATGAATATGTTTGTTGAAATGGATTAAACCATCCTGTTTGGGTACTCAACAAACTTCAGGACCTTTACCTGTACAGTTGTTTAGCTCTTGGTTTGTCAATATACCCTCAAGAATATGATGGAAACACTTGGATTTTTTTTTTTTTTAATGGAATCATGGTGCATGATTTCAGTTATTTCCTGGAGTAACAGTTGAATGACCTTATGAAAACAGGAAGAAGTTAAATCAACTATGGTTTTTTCTTAGGGAAATTTTGGTATTCAGTTGATCCTTGAACAGTGCTGGGCTTGAGGTGCCAGCCCACAACATATAACCTAGTTTTTTTAAGTTTTATTTCTTTTTCTTTTTCTTTTTTAAGTTTTATTTCTTTCAGTCAGTCTTTCTTGATTTTTGTCATAGAGTCCAGGTGCTCACTGAGAGGGATAGAGAGAGGGAGAGTGAAAAATCAGTGCCTAGGGATATGGCCACACTGCATTCCTTTCTCCTCTATTCTTCTCTCAGGATTTTGTGTATACACAAACAGGCCCAGAGTGATTTTCAGGGCACCAGGTCCAGGACTCAAACAATGGTCAACCATGTGGGAGTTCAATGCCTTAACCAACACACCACCTGCTGGCTCCAAAAGTTTTATTTTGGGCTAGCCAGATGACTTGCTCATTAAGGTGGCTGGCTGGATCCCACATTGCTGATTATGTAGTTTGAGTCTCTAACCCAGCAGCTTGAAAAAAAACACTGGGTATGTGCCCAGAATCCCAAGAGGAGAATGAAAGAGAAGGGATTATAGTGTGATCATGCCCCCTGGGGGTGCCTTATTACTTTCCCTCTCCCTCTCTCTCTGTCTCTCCGTGGTGGATCCAAATAGAATCAAAAGGTCCAAGGAACAAGGTTGAATCCTCCCTCTGCTTGAACTGAGATCCGTCTTCTACTGCACTTGCATAGCACTCCCGGTAGGCAGGCCTTAAGGCTTGGTTGGGAAGTGTACCACTGGCTTTTTTTTTTTTTTTTTTTTTTTTTTTTTTTTTTTGTGGGGTTTTTTTTTATGGTGGTGG